AATTGCAGTATTAACCTGCTTTTATTGCATTGTCTTCAAAATGAATATTCTATATATGGCGCAGATCATCTATAATCAATTAATTTGCTTACAGTAACAATTGGTCAGTTTCAGAATATTTGGAAAAAAAAATTTTATATCAAAAAAAAAAAAAATATAAACCATACACTTTTGTAGCAGGGAAAAATTTTGTACTGTAAACTTTTAGGCATTTTCAGACTAAAATCATTTCCATAAAAGTAAATGATCACCGCTAGTGTTTATTTTGAATTAAATATCTGTCGGCAATAAACAATAATATAAATATAAAATAGATTTTGTCTAACAATTTTTTTATAGAATGTTCTCATTTGTAAACTTTTTGTTTATTAATAAAAATAAGGAAACAATATACGCTGTAAACATTGAGAACGCAAAATGAGCCTTTTGCTTTTTACAAATTACACAATATCACGCATGTTGCGCCACTCAAGTTCAAAACTTTATTGAGTTTGAATTGCACCTTTGTTATAAAGAGCAAAATAATCACATCGCTTGGGTCAAGACAATAGTCTATTTTATTAAATTCGAAACATATAAATGTACTGCCATTCCCACATTTTTTTCGTAACACCAACAACGTAGTGATATCTCTCAGGCCATTTGGTGTAAAAAACTTACTCAACCACTATATTCGTTCACAACGTCTCTGCCATTCAGGCAATTAAACTAACGAATGAGTGTATACGTTATGTGAACACATTCAAACTATTATTATGGATGATACAAAATAAATAAATCAAGTCGATCAATTTAAAATTTTTTTTTATTGATCTCAAACCCCTTTGACTCAGACAGCTCAATATCCTATATTCAGAAAGGAGAAATTTGTCTAGGGATGTCCACCGAAACTATTTCAAGCTACCGAAACACCGAAAATCGAAACCTAAATCGAAAGTCAAAATCTAAACCGAAAACAATCTATAGTAACAATTCATACATTACTTTTTTTCTGTATTATCATAATTTTTCTTAAATCATATACATCCACTCACTAGACAAAAGTCAGTCGCATTTTTAAACAAAAATTGCGCAAAAACATACTTAATAATAATTAAATAAAAAACATTGTTTCGCAACTTTGGTTCACCAAATCATATATGCAAAATTTCACATCTTTAATGATTTTATTAAACTAATGATTAAAAAAAGAAAATTCCTGACAAAACAGGATCACCAAAATTGACTATTTTTTTCTTCTTCAGAAAATGATAGTTGAAAAATGCACATAATAATCATACCCAAAAATTTAAAATTCGATAAACAAAGTAAATAATAATAATAATAATATCTTGTTGGCCATCCATTATTTTCAATGACTGCTTCAACTCTCCTTAGTATACTCTCAGTCAATTTAATTAGGACATCATTTGTTAATTTAGAACGGCTACTTCGATTTTTTGTAACGAGATCTTTTCTATCAATGCAATTTTGAATAGTAGGAGTCACTGTTTTCTATGAACACTAACAATTTTAGTTATTTTGTGGTTTGGTATATTATTTTTATATAGACCGATGATTTCACCACGTTGACTTTCACTTAAGGGTGACATTTTGAGTTTAAAATTTTTCAAAGGAATTGTTCAAAAATTTATTAAAAATGATGTTTGTTTACAAAAAAACTCAAAACAACATAGATACTTATTCAAAACGTTTTTTATTGTATACCAAAAATTTGAGCTTGGTTATTAAATGCGATTTTGTTCAATTAAATTTTTTTTGTCAGAAAAATTTTTGGAAAAAATTTTTGGTCGGATTTTTTATTTTTTTAGCTGTTATTTTCTTAGGCATAATAAAAGTTTTAAATTTGCATGCAAAATTTCAAATTTTTGTAATGTTTGGGAGAATAACAGTTAAAAAAATAAAAAGTTCGACCAAAAATCTTCTGAAAAATTGTAGTTAGCCAAAAAAAAAGTTTCTCAGAAACTTACATAATAACCACACCTGAAATCGTGACATATGAAAGATTAGATTCTGAAAAATTACGTCATATGTTTTTTATACAAGTTTTTTTGTAAAAAATTGTTTTGAAATTTTTGATAAAATTAAAAAATGTCAAAGCAAAAATCGTCAAAAATTGGATTGAAACAAAAAAGTAAAAATTTTGAAGAACTGGCCAAGCCAATCTCCTGATTTGAATCCAATAGAGCATCTGTGGAATCAATTAGAAATTCGTATTCGGAAGCGTCCAAATAAATTTAAAAATAATGTTGAACTTGAGACCGCTTTACATGAAGAATGAAATCAAATTCCTAGAAATATTTATATGAATTTGATAGAAAGTATGCCGAGAAGAATAGAAGCTGTTATATCCAATAATGGACAGCCAACAAAGTGTTGACTTGCATACAAATAAGAAAATTTCGAGTGTAGTTATTATGTGCGTTTTTTTTTTTTTTGAGAAGTGGTATAAAATCAAAATTTTAGAGATCATTTCCAAAAAATTATTTTTGGTCAAACTTTTTATTTTTTTAACTGTTATTCTCCCAAACATTACAAAAATTTGAAATTTTGCATACACATTCTTGAGAACTTTAATCACAATTTGATGAAAATTATTTGTGTTTTATTATGTAAATTTTTGCGTAATTAATTGTTTTGTGGTGACCGAAACTTTTGTCAATTTGAAATTTACCAATTAAATTTTGGGGTGGGTGTTTGAATACAAAATTCTGATTGGCTAATTTGAATTTCACGCACAACATTAATACAATCTGTCTCTCTACGTTTATTATAGAACAACAAACAGATGAATTGATGGGAGTAAAACGCAAAATCGGAAAAAATAAAATTCAAAGAATTAATTTTAATTTTTATCCAATTAAAATTGAAAAAAAAGAATAAAAACATGTAATTTATATCATTTTGTAACTTAGTTCTCAAAATTTAAATTTTCCATTATGTCTAGGAAATAACAATGAAAAAAAAAAATAAGAAATTCGCTCAAATATTTCTGGCAAAAAAAAATTAATTGAACAAAAACGTATTTAATAACCATTTCTGAAAAGTCTCAATAAGTATATTTCTTGTTTTTAATATTTTTTTATAAACAAACATTATTTTTAATAAATTTCCTTTGAAAACTTTTAAACTCGAAGTATTAGCTTTAAATTTTCGGGTATAATCATTATGTGTGTTTTCAACAATCATTTTTTTTTTTGGAAGAGAAAATAAATGGTCGAGATTTTATTTTTTTAATATTAGTTTAATAAAAATGATAAATATGTGAATTTTCATATATAATTCGGTGAACCTTTTATTTAATATAATTTTTGTTTAAAAATGTGCCTGGATTTTGTCCAGGTAATGTATATACTATTAATTCTGTTAAGAAAATTAATTTAAAAGCAATTGATAGATATGAAAATGATGAAGATACAAGTGATGAAGATAATAAAAAAAATGAAGAGGTCAGGCAGGTGAAGAAAGAAATCACAAAATGATTATGAAGCAAATGATATAGATAGTGGTTATGATTATGGTGAAAGTAATGCGGATGATGAAACCATAACGAAAAGAAACTAAAAAAATCATTAGAAAATATGCTAGGAAAATAATGTTTTGAATTTAGGATTAATCATAAATTTTGATAATGATTCAAATAAAATAAGCGATTTTTATTCAAATGCATTCATTGTTTGACTCTCGGTTTAGGCTTTGACTTTCGGTGTGGTTTTTGAATTTCGGTTTAGGTGTCTAACTTGCAAATGTTCGAAGGTACTTTCGGTATTACCGAAAAGGGAAGGTTTCGGTTGACATCCCTAATTAAATTAAGAAATCAAAGATTTTTGTAACAATTCAAATTTAATTTCTTGTTTGTAGGTAATGGTAGTTGATTAATCTCAAACACATCTTTTTATACAACTTCTTTTTAGACTTATTCGGAAAACAAAGGATAGGATTGACAAGAGAAAATAAATGGTCGAGATTTTATTTTTTTAATATTAGTTTAATAAAAATGATAAATATGTGAATTTTCATATATAATTCGGTGAACCTTTTATTTAATATAATTTTTGTTTAAAAATGTGCCTGGATTTTGTCCAGGTAATGTATATACTATTAATTCTGTTAAGAAAATTAATTTAAAAGCAATTGATAGATATGAAAATGATGAAGATACAAGTGATGAAGATAATAAAAAAAATGAAGAGGTCAGGCAGGTGAAGAAAGAAATCACAAAATGATTATGAAGCAAATGATATAGATAGTGGTTATGATTATGGTGAAAGTAATGCGGATGATGAAACCATAACGAAAAGAAACTAAAAAAATCATTAGAAAATATGCTAGGAAAATAATGTTTTGAATTTAGGATTAATCATAAATTTTGATAATGATTCAAATAAAATAAGCGATTTTTAGTCAAATGCATTCATTGTTTGACTCTCGGTTTAGGCTTTGACTTTCGGTGTGGTTTTTGAATTTCGGTTTAGGTGTCTAACTTGCAAATGTTCGAAGGTACTTTCGGTATTACCGAAAAGGGAAGGTTTCGGTTGACATCCCTAATTAAATTAAGAAATCAAAGATTTTTGTAACAATTCAAATTTAATTTCTTGTTTGTAGGTAATGGTAGTTGATTAATCTCAAACACATCTTTTTATACAACTTCTTTTTAGACTTATTCGGAAAACAAAGGATAGGATTGACATGTAACATACAGCCCAGCCCATCAATTTATCGAATATTTCATTCAAAAAACAAATCGTGTTTATTTAAAACTAAACTGATTCAAGCAGTTTCTTCATCGCCATCACAACCTACTGTATATCCCAAACCTTAACATCTTTTCCCTAGTTTTCAGCTGAAAGGTCTTCTTTATCTGCATTGGCGCTTTATCCTTGTTCCTCGCCTGGTCCATTGCATTGATTAATGTTTCTGATCTTGATACATTCAAGGAAGTATCAAGGCGCGTTTTTTTTTCGCTTCTTCTTCCTTATCACATGGTGCTCGTGGTGGTCTTTTATTTGATGATCCGCATGACAACAAGTTTGATGATGACAATGTTGCATTCGATGGTGCTGAGAATGTCAACGATGACGTTGACAATGTTGATATTTTTGCTGATTATTAGCCATTTGAATCTTAAGCATTAGTGGTTCGAAGCTGCACGAATTTATTATCATAATGAGATTTGGCACACAATATTCCTTCCTATTTGGGAAAAGACACATGGAAACAAAATGGAGCTTATTAAATTTTTGGATGTTGTATGTGAAATTGAAATCTTTAATTAAAATTTTGGGGCGGAGTGTTTGGATGTGGAATTCTAATTGGCTAATTGAATTATATGTGAATTTCAAATTCACATAAATTTCATTTTCACGCACAACATACACATACTTAATTAGCTTGGAAAACATGAATGATTTAATCGAAGAAAAAATATGAAAACATGACGTATTTCGCAAATCCTGTAGACATCACAAATTGAAATTTATGTGGCCATTCTAATATGAGACAACCATCCTGTCTTCTTGCTTTACACAATGACAAATGAATTTTAACAGGTTAGGGTTTTTCCAGATAACAATGAGGGTACTATTTGAATTTGGTCCCCCACGTATTTAATGGTTACAATGGTGTGCCATCTGATAATTCATGACCAAACTGTACAACCTTTTCCATGATGGGGTCAAGAACATCTCCACGGATTGCATTAAGTGAGGTCAGCTCTCCTGTCCTTTTTTCCATATACACTGTGAGTCTCAGTTTAACAGACATGTTTGTTTCCAGTAAATTTATCTGCTAAACCAAGAGATTCACAAAAGCAAATCTTATGATTAAATCACATGTTATAATTAAATACGTATATACAAAAAAAATGTTATTTATTTTAATAATTTTAATATAAAAAAAACGAAAAAAAAAACATAAAGATAATATTAATATCATGAATTCGTCAATTCGATATTGTTTTGCTTCTTAGGTACTTCTATAAGAAATTTCTCCTTTTAACTTCAATACATTTTTAAACAACTTCTAAATCTTTTTGTTGTATACATTAAGTTCATTTCCCAAACTATTTATAGCTTCTATACTTGTTATAATCGGTCCACTTATTTTCTCAACACCCTCCTTATCTTCAACTTCATGTTATCTTAACACAATGTTTACAATTTCTTGTTCCGTCATTTCTTTTTCGAATTCAAAGATTTTGATAATAAATTTGTCAGTATTTGTTAATATTCATTTTTATTAAGAATTATAGATTAACAACAAAAAAAAAGAAAAACACAACACTATCTCAAAACTAATGGATTATTGCTAGTATAAGATATTCATAACGTTATGATCATACCATACCGAATTTTGAGGTTCAAACAAATCGACGCATATGCTCAAAGTACATTTTTGAGAATCTAGGGTTTTAATAAATTTATTAATTGTGTTATGCATGACATTTTAAATAGTAATAGCAATTCAATATGTAGAGTAATGTTGGGTATTTACCATGTGATTATTCTCAATTCTTTTCTATCATGATGATGATAAGATAAAGGGTTCCAAATCTAAACCATTTTTTTGGTGACATCACTATACTGACATATATAAAATCAATATTTGGCCATACCTTTGATCATTGGTTATGAAAACTTGGTCGGTTTAATTGGTCAACTTCAATTTTGTGAAATGCGACGAAATTAACAACGGTTTGACGAATAATTCCCCGCTCTGCAAAGTATTTCGCCAACCATTCTTAGAACAGATAATAAAAAGAAACTAAATCTATATCATATACATGATTACATGGAAATTATTACATTGATAAAATTCAACTAATTTTCATTTTATGATTTCTTTTAAGAACCAAAAAATTTATATTGGATAAAGTTTTAACTTAAAATTAAAAATCTAATTATAATTATTTAAATCATAACGTTATATTGTTGAAGATTTTGAAAGTAACATATTTGATATAAAATAAAATAAAAAAAAAGATCTTAAAATTCATATTTTATAATTTAATGTGGAAACCAAGTTGTGAATTGATAAGTTTTATTGACTTTTTCACCAGATGGGAGAATTAATTCATGAGTAATTATTTTAGAGCTTGTGGAATTGGGTATAAAAGTCTGATTATTATTGTCATTAATTGTAATTAACTGGTCATTCTGAACATTATCATTATCACTATCATTATCACTATTATTATTTTTCAAAATTTTAATATTATTATCATCAATGATGCCTTTATGACTAGTATCTACTACAGCTTCAGTATTACTATCACTATTAATATATTTGTAGCTATTATCATTGTTTGAAATGATTTCAATATTACTAGTAAATTCTTTTTCATTTTCATTATGAGTTTGTTGATTTAATTCTCTGTTTGTTTCATCATCACTAACAACAACATTATTAACCATTTCATTGGATTTCTTTTTTCTTCTATATAAAATAAGAATAGAAATAAAAGCAATAATGAATGTACCAGATATAACTGATCCAATAATTATACCTAGCATACCAGTAGTTTCTTGATCAGCAGTAACACTAGTGGTGGTTGTATCTGTTGAAAAATTAGTACTGGTGGTGGTTGGTTCACTAACAGTACTAGTAATGATTTTAGGATCTAGCCAATTATAATTATATTTGTCACTAATATCTAACAATAAAATATTTTCATAATTAGTAACAACAATCCAACCTATTATTATTATTGAATATAAATAAAATTAATATAAATAAATAATATAGTTATGTATGAATTTTAAATTGTTATTAACATAAGTTACCAAATGAGATTATTATGTAATTTTTATATAAATTTGAAGTATGGTATCTATGATCTTTATCAAGTAGATCAACAGGATAATTAGTAATATTTGTTGGAACTGTCCATTGGAAAGGAGATTTTGTTACATCTAATATTGCTAATTTGTCTGGTTTAAAAGTACCACCATACACAATTATCCTTCCATCAGGTGCTAAAATAAATAAATATTATATATAAATTGAAAAAATATATTTAATTAAATAATTATAATAATAATTAATTTACTTAATACTGAAGAATGTCCAAATCGTGAAGAAGGTACATCACCAACTGTTGTCTAATATAACAAATATTTATTAATATCTTTTAGTTGAAAATATTGTTACTGATGATTATATAACTTACAATAATAGACCATGAATTTTGATTAATATTATACAAGTATATCTAAATATAATATGTATTATTAGAAAATATAATATTCTCACTCCTTTTATTTTAATTAAATAATAAAAGAATAAATTATAATATTACATCAGTTGGAATATCTAGGCAAATTATATTCTCATCATTCAATACATGCCAATTCAAAAAATCTCTGAGTATTAAAGGTGGGCCAATATTACTTGGTGTTAAGGTTGTAAATATCAAACTTTTGGAATTGAATTTATATATTATACGTGGATTGTCAAGTATATATGTGTTTCCATTATTATCTTGTGTATAAAATGTTTCACCAACTTTATTTAATTGTAATTGTCCATTTAGGGTTTCTGGAGTCCATGTATCAAATGAATTTGTATTTATTGAATAAACTATAGACCCATAGGCTGTAGAACCAGGCAGTGCTGTATCACCTCTATCTCCAGCTATAACATAAAGTGTGTCATTACTAGCCCCTCCTAATGCTAATGATGCACTACTAAATGGAGGTATTGCTGATTTTGGAACAATTGATTTTATTAGTAATGTTTGATTAAGTGAAAATAATGTGGATAAATCTAGGTAAATTATTTGGTTTGTATAATTTAAACTTTTAGAAAATCCTCCAAAATAATAGAGTTTATCATTTAGCACTATTGAACTTTGATAATGTATATCTAATAATTGACCAGAAACCAAAAAATCTAATAAAAATAAATTGAATATTATTATTAATAAATTTAATGATTTCAAATAGTTGTGATGATGATAATTATTCATTTTTAAAAAGAAACAATAGAAAAATTGCTGTATTGACCTGCTTATATTGCATTGTTTTCAAAATGAATATTCTATATATGGCGCAGATCATCTATAATCAATTAATTGCTTATAGTAACAATTGGTCAGCTTCAGAATATTTGGACAAAAAATTTTTATATCAAAAAAAAATATGAACCATACACTTTTGTAGCTCAATCCTAAGGGAAAATTTTGTACTGTAAACTTTTAGGCATTTCGGACTAAAATCATTTCCATAAAAGTAAATGATCGCCAACAATTTCCGCTAGTTCGTGTTTTGCACCAATAAAATAATCAATATTTTTTTTCGAGTTAAATATCTGTGCGCAATAAACAATAATATAAATATAAAATAGATTTTGTCTAACAATTTTTTTTATAGAATGTTCTCATTCGTAAGCTTGTTGTTTATTAATGAAAACAAGGAAACAATATACGCTATAAACATTGAGAACGCAAAATGAGCCTTTTGTTTTTTACAAATTACACAATATCACGCATGTTGCGCCACTCATGATCAAAAATTTATATATTGAGTTTGAATTACACCTTTGTTGTAAAGAGCAATATAATCACTTCACTTGGGTCAAGACAATAGTCTATTTCATTAAATTCGAAACATATAAATAGGACAGTCGTTCCCACTTTTTTCGTAACATCAACAATATAGAGATATTTCTCTCTGGACATTTAGTGTAAAGAACTTGCTCAATCGGCCACAACGCTTCTGTCATTCAAGCAATTAAAATAACGAATGAGTGTATGTATACATTCAAACTATTATTAAAATGATACAAAATAAATAAATCAAGTCGATCAATTTAAAATTTTTTTTTAATGATCTCAATAAACCCTTTGACTCAGGCAGCTCAATCTCCTGTATTCAGAAAGAAGAGTTTTGTCCACCTTTAAACAGTCAAAATCGAAGTACAGTATATTTATTCGTTTCGACACGTTAGATATTAAACAGATCGCAAAGGACAAACCTCAGAATTTGAAGATACAAAATCTGGTGTCAAAAAAAATTTAGATATCTATATGAATATAAAATTAATTTTTTTTGTTTGTAGGTAATGGTAGTCGATTAAAATTTCGAACACATCTTTTTATACGACTTCTTTTTAGACTTGTTCGGAAAACAAAGGAGAGGGTTGACATGACGGACGATTGATTCCTATGCATATATTGATTGTTTTTATATAGTGCAAACATTTCAGCCAATATATTAACTTCATGCATCAACTTTGGACAAGGATAGTGACGAGAAATTTGCTGGTAATATGTAATTACCATATCAGCCAATTTTTTTTTTTTGGGCCCTTCTTTCAAATCCTACACACATGTAAACTCGATAGGTCGGTCATTTATTTATTTTAAACAATTGATTGTTGCATCCAACTTAGTGAGCTTACATATATATCATATTGTGTGTGTGTAACTGGTCAGTAGAGTGATGACTAACCCAAAAAAAAACTATTTACTATTCAATAGCCCGTCAAACCAACGGCACTATCTCAAAACTAATGGATTATTGCTAGTATAAGGTATAACGTTATGATCATACCATACTGAATTTTGAGGTTCAAACTAAATCGACGCATATGCTCAAAGTACATTTTTGAGAATCTAGGGTTTTAATAAATTTATTAATTGTGTTATACATGATATTTTATATAGTAATAGCAATTCAATATGTAGAGTAATGTTGGGTATTTACCATGGTGATTATTCTCAATTCTTTTCTACCATGATGATAATATAATGGGTTCCGAATCTAAATCATTTTTTTGGTGCCATCACTATACTGACATATATAAAATCAATACTTGGCCATACCTTTGATAATTGGTTATGAAAACTTGGTCGGTTTAATTGGTCAACTTCAATTCATCAATTTCGTCACATTTCGTCAGTTTGTCAATTTCGTTCGTCAGATGTGACGAAATTAGTACAGTAATTCCCCGCCCTGCAAAGTATTTTGCCAACCATTCTTAGAACAGATAATAAAAAGAAATCAAATCTATACCATATAAGGATACCGGCTGCAACTTTTGATGATAGTTGCTACCACCTTTGCGTCATATAAAAATGATTGCAACCGCCTTTACAACCATTTTGTTTCCTTTTTTGGATTGCGACATGGAACACTAATACCATATACATTGATAAAATTTAACCAATTTTCATTTTATGATTTCTTTTAAGAACCAAAAATTTATATTGAATAAAGTTTAACTTAAAATTAAAAATAAAATTATAATTATTTAAATCTTAGAGTTATGTTGTTGAAGATTTTGAAAAGTAACATCTTTGATATAAGATAAAATAAAAAAAGATCTTAAAATTTAGATTAAAGAATCAAATAAAAATCTTATGAATTTTCAATTACAAAGGTAAGTTGAAATAGATATATGTGTCTTTATTTTTTTGACTATACACAATCAACAAAAAAATATTGAAGAGTGTGCTAAGAAAAATTTTTTTGATAAAGTTGAAATTATCAACATTTTAAATTTTTTTTTTTGCAACACCCATTTTAAAGTATTTTCCCCACAAAAATCTATTGGCTAAAATTATCCATGTTTATGTAATGTACAAAATGAATTTTTTATTTTTATATTAATTAAATATATCATCGATTTACTGATTTAATGGTAATGATTGATATCGATAACTAGCAACCAATCGCTACTGCTAGGAAACGATGACTTTATTTGTCAATGTAGATGAAAAAGGAAGATTTTTTTGCTTTTTTTACGTTCAAAAAAAAAAATTTTTTTATACATATTATGGAAACTATGGAATTAAACTTTTTATTATAATACTAAAAAAAAATTTTTTTTCTTATTTTATTCATCTCACAATAGATTATTATATGCAATTTAATAGGAGGAACAATTATATATTGTCTGCCAGATTTAAAGCAAAAAGTTTTATTTACCATAAATAAAATTATCTTTTGTTCTGGTATACTTCTCTGCTGCTTCCTCAAGCTCCATTCTATTACTAGCATTAGTAATAAAATTAATATTGCAACAAGTTTTCCCTTGTTATCCATTTCCACTTCAACATCGTCTGCCTTAGTTTTCTGTAACGTGGCCGTGGTCGTGGGAGTAGTAGGATCATCAAGGTTATAACCTTCGGCACGTCACATTCCTTATCACAAATGAGATTAACCATAAAAGACGGTTTGTTCCAAGAACATTCCATCCATACGAATTGATGCTATCTTGTCATTGCGGCTATGACAACCATAGGTTACCAGTGGCATCTTCACAAATATCTTGCTTGATGAATGGAAGAGGGTTGCATAAAATAAATTAGCGGTGCATCTGTATCGTCAAAAACGATAGATTTCTATATCGATCCTTAAATCAGAAAGCAATATTAAAAAAGAGACATGTACAAAATGTTTAATGAAAAGT